TACCTCTCTTCTTTAGCTGCTCCATAAAAGAGACCTGTCATTAGAAGGCAACCAAAGGAAAGCCTTTAACTCTGTGGGGAATTTGGAAGCCCCAAATGCTGGGAGCTACAACCAAGCAGATAATGTCATAGAGGGACTTTGCTGAGAATCGACTATCGGCCTTAAAGCCCAAATATTAAAGCCCAAATAATGTTTTCTTCTTCTTTGGGCTAGAGGGAAAACTTGATAGCGCATGGCCATTAAAGTGAGGTATTGCTGGTCAAAAGTGTCATCTTACTCTGCTGTGTCTGAATTTCTACATTCCACACCATCCCATATTCCTCACCACTAAACACATCTTTGAGCAGATAATTTTTCTTTTTGGGCCTAGGGTAGAGCTTTTGAATGCCAAGACCTTAATTGCCTTCCATCACCTGGCTCCATTCTAGAGAATGAAAGAAACAAGTATCGCATTGCCTCAATTTCTCTCCAAACGGAAGTGGTCCCTGAGCTAGTACTTCTTCTGGTCACAGGTTTCTATGACATCTGTTTCCATATTTTTTATGAATCACTTCAGCCCATAAATGTTTGTGGCTTTGCGCCAATCTCCACCACCATTTAGTGAGCAAGGCTTCCTTTTAGGTAAAGCTCACCTTATTCCACTTAACAAGGCAAAATTTATTCGTGTCGGCAACACCACTCCATAGGAACTGCCTCATAAGTCTTTTAAGCTCCTTGATAAGCCATGTAGGAGCTCAAATGAAAAGTAGGACACTAGCAGATTGGACGAGGTGGCTTTGGTAAATTTTGTCCTCCCCCCAAAAGAGAGATGTCTCCCTCTCTGGCCATCTAGTTTATTGTGAAATCTGGAAATAATTGGGTCCCAGGAGGATCTAGACAATTTGCTACTAAATAGAGGGATACCCAGCTAATTAGATGGGAGTATGTCACTTTTGCAGCCAAGCCACTGTGCCTAGTCACTGATCTCTTCCTTTCTGCAATTAATGCCTATGAGTTTCGTTTTGCTCATATTAATTCTGGCCCCAGATGTGAACTGGTAACACTTTGAAAAAGCCAAACATAATGGATCTGGGGCCACTCTACTCTTGTGAGGAGCATTGTGTCGACTGCGTATTGGAGGTGGGACACCAAAGGTCCACTTTGTGAGGCTGGAAGTCCTCGTAACTTCTATTAGTCACTCCATCCAGCATGAGGGCTAAAGGACTCGGCTATCGCAATATAGAGAAAATGAGAAGGGGAAATCCCTGCTTTAAAGTAACCCACTGCTTTACTTCTAACCAACAGTCTGAGAAATGGGCTGAGGAAAGTTAGCCTTTCATCCAAACCCTCCAGTTTTGTTTTAAATATTGACATACAGATTTTTTATTGAAGAACCAGTTGTTCATCAGGTTCTGAGTTGTGCTTGAATTCTCACTAGTTTCACATTGTTTGATGATTTTTCTCCCAAAGAGCTC